GAGTGGGACAGTAACAGGAAGTCATGCTAGAGAGAGAACCTCATCTGCATTTTTCTTTCACGTATTTCCTGTCAAGAAAGCAAAAACCAGGGGCTGCTGCTGTAGTACACTAATCCTCTGCCCTGTGGTGCTGGCATCCCACATGGGCACCAGCTCAAGTCCCCATTCCTCCAGCTCCCCTCCAACTCCCTGCTTATGGCTTGGGAAAGCAGAAGAGAACACGTTCTTGTGATTCTGCACCTGCTCCTGGCTTTGGATGGGCTCAGCTCTGGCTGTTGTGGCCATCTGGGGAGAGAAACAACAGATGGAATATATTTCTCTAACTCTCCTTTCTCTGTAAATCTGCCCTTCAATTTTTTTTTTAAAGGAAAGGAAATTGAATTCTAGTACCCAAAAAGCTGATGGAAACTTCAGAGAAAACCTCTGCCATGCGTGCGCTTCCAGAAAGCAATCATGTGAAAGACGAGGCACACAGAGGCGCTGGAATATTACATAATCTGCCCATGTTTACTCAGTTGTGATTTGAACCTAAAGCATAGGTTTTTAAACTTAGTGCTTAAATTGCAGTAGGACTCAAAATAATATATATAACACTTAGTAAATGCAGGTTCAATAAAATTTAGTGGAGGGAGTTTAAAAAAAATTTTTTTTAAAGATTTATTTATTTTTATTGGAAAGTCAGATATACAGAGAGGAGGAGAGACAGAGAAGAAGATTTTCCATCTGCTGATTCACTCCCCAAGTGGCAGATATGGCCAGAACTGGGCTGATTCAAAGCCAGGAGCCTTCTCCGGGTCTCCTGTTTGGGTGCAGGGTCCCAAGGCTTTGGGCCATCTTCTATTGCTTTCCTAGACTACAAGCATGGAGCTGGATGGAAGTGGAGCAGCCAGGACACAAACTGGTACCCATGTGGGATCCCATGTGGAAAGTGAGGACTTTAGCCACAAGGCTACCACGCTGGGCCTAGTGGAAGGGAGTTTTAAATGTAAATCTGCCCTCTGAAAATTGGATCATTTTAGTCTATCTAATAAGCCGACAATAGGTGGATAACCAGAGAAGAATATACAAGTTTTCTGGCATGACTGTAAATGAAGTGATGCACACAGAATGGGAGCCAGTGCAGTGGCATGGCAAGATGGTCCTCTGCCCTGCGGTACCAGCATCCCAGATGGGTACCAGTCCCAGCTGTTCCTCTTCTGATCCATCTCTTTTTCTGCGGCCTAATCAAGTAGCAGAGGATGGCTCAATGTGCTGTGACTCTGTACACAAGGGAAGAAGCTGCTAGCTCCCAGCTCCAACCATTGCAGCCAACTGGGGAGTGAACCAGTGACTGGAAGAGCTTCTCTCTCTGTCTCTCATAAAATGTACCTTTCAAATTAAAGACATCTTTTTTTTTTTTTTTTTTTTTTAACAAAATGGAACTAACCCCTAGGTAGAGCAAACAACAGGAGAGGGTTTGAGCTCCCGGGAGGAGTGATGCAGGGCACAGCTAACAAGGGCTGTCTGGCACAGGTGAAAACTCCCAGCTAGCAGCTCCTCAGTCATCTCTAGGGTCGGTCTCAGACCTCCCAGCTCTCCTTCCCGTGGAAAGATCTTCCCAGGGCACAAAAGGGAGGCGGCAAAGCCTCCACCTTTCTCTCTGTTGACTGATGTGGACAGACTGTGTTTGTTTTTATAGAACGGCATTACAGGGAATTCCTGCAGAGGTCTGCAGAGGTCTGCAGTTTCTCTGAAAAACCAAATCAAAATATGCTGAAGAAATACATTTGGGATGGGATATATTTCTTTCCCACATCTGTTTGCTATTGTTACATGGATCTAATGCCCATATATGTGTCTTACTCTAGATTCTCTTCCGAGGCGAAATGCTGTGCCTCGTCATTTGGAAAGCATTTGCAAGTATCACTTCCCACAGGAATATATATATATATATATATATATATATATATATATATATTTTTTTTTTTTTAAACTTGAGAGGGGCATGACCGGCAGCTGGGGATAGGGAGGCACATAATCCCATCTGCTTATTTACTCCTCAAATGCCTGAAATAGCCCAGGCAGGGCTGGACTCAGCTCAGAGCTGGGAACTCCAGGTCTTGAATACAGGTGGCACAAACTTAAGCCACTGCCTGCAGCCTCCCAGTTCTCATGCAAAAAGCTGGAGTTGGGGGCTGGAAGCAGGACTTGGCCTCAGATATTCTGCTGTGGGCATTTCAGCCACCAGGCCAACACGTGCTCCTGAATCCTTTTCCCTATAAAGATCTCTTTTGATATCTAAAGTATTGCAGTATTTGGCCCACAACTCTCCACTTTATCGATGATTGTGGCTGAGTGCTTTATCTATACTGGAATTCAAAGGGATTTCTGACTAAACCAAGGAAGGGAAGCAAGGGTCAGGGTGGTCACACAAAACCCAGCACGACAAAGATTTAGAATTTAATTATCACCTCTATAGTTAGCATCCTCTATTTGGAGAGCCTTGCAGAACCCTGGGCCCTGATCAAACAAAGTAGTAGGTAATCTGCCTAAGACAGGAGCTCCCTTTGGTGTCACAGCATTTCCAGAGTATGCTGGCTTCCTGACACTGGCCAACTCAGGGAAGGCCATGAACACCATGGATCTACCAAAGACCCACACGTGAACTATACATACATTATACATATATACATATATATACACATATATACATATATACACTGCTCACTCCTAGCTTTAATCTGTAAAATTCCCCATTCTTAATTCCTTGGGAGTTAAGCAACAGCCACCCACATCCTGGTTTTGAATGTTACAAAATGAATACCTACTTTCTTCCACTACCACTGTGTCAGAGACTGACTTGCTTAATGGACAGGGCTGTGGTGGTGTTTTTTTTTTTTTTTTTCCAACAGGAAGGAGTGTTTAAAGCATCATTTTTATAAATATTTATTTTGTTTATTTGAAAGTCACATTGGGGGCTTGGTGCGGTAGCCTGGCAGCTAAAGTCCTCACCTTGCATGCATCGGGATCCCATATGGGCATCAGTTCTAATCCAGCAGCACTGCTTCCCATCCAGCTTCCTGCTTGTGGCCTGGGAAAGCAATCGAGGATGGCCCAAAGCCTTGGGATCCTGTACTCGTGCGGGAGACCCAAGCACCTGGGCCATCTTCTGTTACTTTTCTAGGTGCACTAGTAGGGAGTTCCACTGGAAGTGAAGCATCCAGACACAGACAGGTGCTCACATGTGATGCTGGTGCTGCGGGCTTCAAATTAACGTGCTGTATCACAGCACTTGTCCCTATGGCAGTATTTAAGAAGGGAGAAATTCCTCTCACATTCCACCTCCACTTCCAAGAAGTCATTCATTCACTCATTTATTCAAGAACATCTAGAACACAGGATGAGGCATTAAACAAACAAATGTGTGTTGTTATAAAGAGCAAAGAAAGAGAGACAATCAAAAACACATGATCAATAAGGAGGCGAAAGCCTTTCTGAGAAAGTAAACCAAACTTAAAAAAAATGTGTGTATCTGAAAAGCAGAAACTGAGACCCCACACATACGTATAACATACTTTCTCTCTCTCTTTTTCTTTCTCTCTCTCTCTCCCTTCCTCCCATTCACTGTTTCACTCCCCAAATGTCAGCAGTAGACCAGGCTGAAAGGTTGAAGCCAAAATGTAGCAAGTCTCCATGTGGGACCTATTGGAGCCATCATTGTCATCTTCCAAGAAAGCTGGAGTCTGGACCCAAAGATGGATACCAAACCCAGACATTCCGGTAGTAGACCCAAAGATAGGTACCAGACCAGGACATGCCAGCAGTGGCCCCAGGGTTGTTAGCCAGCATTTTCACTGCTATAGCCGCTTCCAGCCCAAACTCTCCAGATCAAGACATCTTGAGCCAATACGGATGCTAGCTAGAAAGAAAGGTTTGGTCCTGGAGTAAGATCCTGTAACTGCCAGCGGCAAGTGGTACCAGCTGGGGAAAAAAAAAGTTTCTTTGATCTAGAAAGGTTGAAGCATTTTTTAATGTAAATCTGGGGGAAAAGAGAAGTTCAAAGTGTTTACGTAGACCCTACAATGGCTATGAAGCATAGGATTGTTTAATGCTGGCAACTTTGGGGATAGGAGGACCCTCTGGGAAAAGTGATTGTTGTTTTTGCATTAATTGGAGTTGTGAGCAGGATACTAGGGACTTCTGGCTGTCACACTCCTTGGGGGGCAGGTGTGTATGTGTGCATGTGTGTGTGTGTGTGTGGAATTTGAGACAAGGTCTCAGCAAATACTCCAGGCTGTGGAGCAGTTTGTTTGTTTGTTCTGAAGCTGTTGCTGGTTACCTTCTTTTATCTCTTCCTCTGTATTCTCTGATTACATCTAGGCCTTCTTGAAAACTCCTATCAGGAACATCTGGGCCAAGAGTTTTACAGAATGAGTAAGAATTTTCCAGAGTGGAAAAAAAAATCAACCAACATTCCAGCTGCTGAGGCTCTGAAGATAACAGCCCAGAAAGGGCCTCAGCAGTACCTTCTCTACCCCCACGTATGTTCCTCACCGGAAGCCAGTGAAACTAGAAACCCTGCTCCACAAGGTGGGTTACAGAAACACAGAACCTCTTGACCCCTGAAGCTGGTCCTAAAACCCAAAAATGTTACCCTAACTTCTCTCCACCTTTCTGTGCCAGAGCTGGCCATAAGAAAATTCAGACCCTCATTTCAGGTGGGCTCTGTCTTATGCCTTAAACCTGGAGGGAAAAAAATATGTATATATGGTATACCAAATATATATATACCGTATATATGTGTGTGTGTGTGTGTGTGTGTGTGTATACATCACAACTGAGAAGCCAAGAAGAAACCATGCAAGTCTATTTTCATTTGTGTATATCCTTTCTATCCAGTTCCATTTCTATATGGTTGCCAGTGTTTCACTAAACCTAAACAGAAGTAGGGGCTCCTTTGGAATCTTCTATCTTAAGGTTCCTGTGTCTCCTGACACTATGATGGGCTCAATTTACTGTGCTCTTCTCCTGGGAACCTGCTTTTTGTTCCAGGATGTTGGTCACAGTCCTTTGTGATAAAACCATCCCTTTTCACCCTGTGCATAATGTCTGTCGTATTTAGACACTGAAGAAAATTTTAGTGTCTGGGCGACAATGAGGAATGGGGAGAGTGGTAGAAAGCAAAGCCAAAGAGCTTAAGAACCATGCCAATCTGATGAGAAGCAACTATATTGTGCAATTTGAAAGAAGAACAATTATTTGCACACTACCAACACTGGAAATGAAGCCCCACCTGAATCACCTTGCTCAGAAGCACAGGGGTGGGCAGAATTTTAAGCAGCAACACTGACCCTCAGATACTGTTCTAAGGAGCTGCTTCTGCAAGGGTGTCTCTCTTCATCACACCTGACAGCTCTGCCAGCAATCTATCTGATAATCATCCACGCTGTTTTTATTAGTCAAGCATGGTGATAACAGGGCCCACTAGAAATTCCCACATGACACACCCATTTGGCAATCCAATCTGAATCAAAACCCTGAGAAGAACAAATGGTCATCACCCTGAAACCCATCTGTTAAACTGAAGACCTATGTCCCTGCTTCCCCAGCAACAGAAGTTATCCTAACAGACATGCAGCGAGCAACCTGGACAGTTACAAAACTGTAAACATTCACCTCTGGCTTCTTTGCCCACATTCCTCACCTGTTCCAGAACTCTTGCAAGTACACAATCAGAAATACAAAGCATCTTAGCATTTGTATCTTCACTCTCTTATCCATGCAGTGAACACAGGGTGAGGAATACAGACATAGAGGGGCATGCTCAGGGGCTACCTGTCCTCAGAGTCTGTCTGCAGGAAGCCAGAGAGCAAGCAGGTACTGGGGAGATCCAGAGTCAAAGTGCCAGAGCAATGGAAACACATGACCAAGAGAGCGAGACCCTCTCTATCACAGGGTCTTTAAGAGGGCTTGTGAGGGCAGTGATTACACAACAACGCAATACCACCCCCTCAGGTTCCAGGTGACAACAGATGAGAGTCACAGAAAGGATTATGTGTGTGTGGGAGGTGTGAGTTTCCAGCTCATGACACTGAACAAGCTGCCCAAGACCACAACAGTGTGGACGTGGGAAAGAGTCCTCTGACATCTGAATGAAATGATGGGTTCTCTCCCCCTTGTGTGGTTGGTAATCTTTCTCTTTCAAACACAAGGAGGCGCCTAGCATCGATTTAGGTGATTGGCAACTGCTTGTCTCTGCCACCATATTCTCTATTACTCTTGCTTCTGACCTTTCCAACACTAAAACCCCTTGAGGAAGCAAAGAATAGAGAAATACGTATTGGATGTGTTGAGTATGTAATAGAATAGATTTTAACAGAACCAGCTGCTGGTCCCTTGGGCTGTTAAAGTTCCAGAATTAATAACAAAGTGGTGGTAGTAAATCAAAGGGCTTCTCTCCCTTGGTAGGAATGGCATGAGAGAGCCCAAACGAATCAACAGACAAATGAGTAAACAAATTTCCTAAAAGATTGTTTGATTTTTGTTTCAGACGTCCCATAAAATCCTACAGATAAAAGCTCAGTGGCTTGATCCTAATACTTTACTATTATAAATGAAAAAGCATCTTATAGGAAGGGACCTACATGGGTATTCAATCCTACAGGGGTCTTAAAGAGGTATGGTAAGGGTCTGGCAGTGAAATACAGATGTGAAATCTGAGAGTAATTTTTGTTGCTTTATTAAGTGTTCCTCATGGAATTTTTCCAAAAATAGGCCATGTCATTATTCAACAATTATCTTTCTACGTACAGGACTTTGTACGCGTAAGATGCTGACTTGGACATTTTTAAATGTTTAATGTTTAAGGGGAGGGACACCCCTCTCGGACAACCAAGGAGTTGAAAAACCTGTAGATGCTGATAAGTATTCTCTAGTCACAATGAAGCTCGGTCAACAAGCCCCAACCCCTTGGAGTTCACCAGTCATTCAGCATGGAGAGAGAGGAATCGATCATAAACCTCCATTTGAACACAAAATGGCTGTTAACTAGGTGGGGGAGGGCAGAGTGGGAGGAAGGCGATTTGGATTTGTGAAATGGAGGGGAGAAGCTATGTGTAATTCATTAGTTATAACAAATAGATCATATACTATATAGTATTAACAACAGGAGAAGATGGTTGAAGGGTATATGGGAACTACACTACCTCACAATTTTTGTTTTATACATTTAAAAGTATTCTGAAATAAAGTTTATATTAAAAATAATAAAATTTTTAAAGGAGCAAGGAATTCCGTGATACCTAATACAACTCTGAAATATTCTGAAAGGCAAAAATGCCAATATCTTCTATCCTGCTCCGTTTAGAATTTCAATATTCCTGCAGTTTTGGCTGAGTTTTAAGTTTGTAATATAGTATTGTCTTGCTATCTAAAATAGACACTTCCACATGTTCCAGGTATATATTGGTTTATGTAAATACATTTCTATAAACATTTTTATGAGTTGCAAATAAAACATTTGCAGCAAAATCAGTATCAAATGGAATAAATATAAAGTTAATTATGATACCTTTAATGCATTAATTTCTAAACTTTAGACAGTTTTCAGTCTTCTTTATGAAAGAAATGTACGAACTGTACCCTTGATTGTACCTCTACAAATAGGACATTTTCTTAGAGAAGGGGCACAATCTTTGCATACAACTAGGTGGCCACAAGGAATAAACACGACGGACACCTCTTTGTCCATACACACTTTGCATGTTCTCTCTTCTTGTAATCGCCGCAGTTGTTCTTCCATTGGTAAATCTAAAAGAAGAAAAGAATTTTTAGCCAATAGCCATTTGCTTCTCTTCCCATGGAAAACCAAGAAAATAAAAGCAATGTTTTCTGCTAATTTAGAGTGTTAATGCTATTACCTGAGACATTTTCTGTAAGAATATACTTGATGTCCTTTTGCACTAAGGGGAAAAAAACGAAAGCATTACTATGACAAATAAAACCAACAGTTAGCCCTAGAATATCTTTTCAAATGAACAGCTTCATTTTGGATCAAATATGAATAATGCCAAGGCAACACAAGTTTTTATCTTATGCAGTTTATGTTTATGAATTAAATTGAATTATTTCCAATAATCACCAATTATTATGGAAATTCTTCTTTCAATTGAATGGAAAATTCCCAGAAATAATTTCTTAGCACTCACCAAATAAACGCTGGTATAATATAGGATCAGTTTCTTGTAAAGATTCTTTAAATATGGTGGCTGCAATGTTTCCTTTTACTAGAATTGTATCAATCAGTTCTCTGGCTTGAAAAGATGTCTGTGTTTTCTGTTTAATGATAACGTGCTCTTGCTCATTAATCACTCCGGAAGTTAGCAGACGGTTTACAATCGGAATCACGCAGCTCAAGTGTTGGGAAAGCGCCATTCGATTCTTCCGGATTAACACTAGATCACCTTGGTAAAACAAAAGCAAGCATGTTCAAACTCTGCTCATAGCCTTCTTCCAACACCTGAATGGAAACCATCTTCATTCACAGCGAGGCACTGATGCTCATCTCCAGGCTGGGGCTAGCTGACTCCCTGTACTTACTAATGGTGCAAAATAAAAGACGGACTAACCAGAGCACTGATTAAGCACCTAACATGTATTAAATAATTTTACCTTAACTGAGGTAGGTATAATATCCTCATTTAACACACTGAGATGATGCAGCGACCGTGAATCAAGTAAATTGAAAGTATTATAGCCACCATCTGCCACGATCTCATGTGGGTGCTGGTTCAAGTCACAACTGCTCCACTTCCCACCTAGCTCCGTGCTAATGGCCTAGGAAAACAGCAGAAGATAGTCCAAATGCTTGGGCCCCTGCACCCACATGGGAGACCTGAAAGAAGCTCCTGGCTCCTGGCTTCTGCCTGGCCCAAGCCTGGCCATTGGGAATGGCCATTTAGAGCCAGCAAAGAGGAAAAATCTCTGTCTCTCTCACCTCTCTCTGAAACACTGCATTTCAAATAAGTAAATAATACCTTGTTACAAAAAGAATCTAATGAAATAGAAATTTCAACTCAAACTACTTATAATGGGGAAAGGAAAAAAAATCAAAAGAATTTAATTTTTCTTAGATTATTATTCTGCCATAAAATGTCTTCAATATTCTATATTAAGTTGAAATTTTCACCATTTTTACTGAATTAAGCATATTGCCACTACCTACTTTACAATGAGGAGAAAATGTCAACAATTTTTATTTTAAGAGAGAGAGAAAAGGTTCTCTATTCACTTGGTCAAAATGGCCCCAAGTGGCCACAACTTCTTAAATAGCCAGAGCTGAGACGATTGGAAGCTGGGAGCCAAAAATTTTCTTTGGTCCTCCCATATGGGTACAGGGTCCCAAGGACTTGGCCCATCATCCACTGGTTTCCCAGTTCATAAGCAGAGAGCTGATTCAGAAGTGAAGCAGCCACGACATGAACTGACCCCCACTATGGGATGCCAGCGCCACAGGGCTGAGGAACAGAATTCAATGACCACTTCTATGTCTCACAGGATCATCTAACTCCCCACTTAAAGATCAAAACTGTCTTAATAATATGACTTATGAATCTATTATTTCTTAATTATCATATATTTTACCATGATCCATAAAGCTACTTTTGTAACCTAACAGTTGAAATTGGGGCTATTGGAAGAACTACTTTGGAAGAGATGATTATTCAATTTAAACACTGACTATGTCCAGTAATTGAATAAATAAATATAAGTATTTTAAAAAAGTGGTGCTTAGTCAAGAAGTCAAGACTACAGATATATATTTTTAAGATTTCTAAGAATAAATGAGAACAGACTAGATCTTAGAATGGTATCTGGCACAGTCAGTGTTTCATAAATATCTGATGAACAAATGGACAACAAAGCCTTAGTGATTTAGAATAGGAACTCAAAGATGGTAGCAAAAGGAGATACGAAGATTATAATCTGTTACATTGTGTTCATTGAAGGAGGGTAGGGAGTGAAATGACATTAAGGTCCTAAGTCTGTATCACGATATTTGTGAAATTTGTCCAGTTTATATAAATAGAAAACAGTCTTCATTGGGGTAGTAGTGATATATTAGAAAATAAAACTACAATTTACACTTAGTGTTGAAGCATGTTAGCTTTTCAGTCTAAGTTTTATTTTTTTTAATAAGAAATTTTGCTTAAGAGGATTGCAGAGAGAGAGAGAGAAACAGAGAAAGAGATCTTCCATCTGCTGGTTTACTCCTTAAAGGTTTGCAACAGCCAGAACTGGTCCCGTCCAAAGCTGGGAGCCAGCAGCTTTTCCAAGGTCTCCCACAAGGGGGCAGCGGCCAGGTTCTGGGTCTATCCTCTCCTGCTTTCCCAGGCGGTTAGCAAGGAGCTGCATTGGAAGTGTAACAGCCAGGACACAAACCAGCGCGATATGGCATGCTGGTGTCACAGGTGAAAGTTAGTTTGCTTTGTCACTGCATCACCCCTTCTAAGATTTATTTTTTTAATTTATTTTTTAATAACTTCATATAATAATTTCTCCAAAGTTCTTAAGATCTCTGACAGTTGATTGCTAACAGCTGGGAAAAGTCTGATTTCAAAGTCATAGACTGTTTCATGGCCTAAGGTCTAAATATTCTTTCTTTAAAAAAATATTTATTTTTTTGCAAAGGCACATGTTCAGAGAAAAAGAGATACAAAAACATCTTCTGTCCACTGGTTCACTCCCCAAGTGGTTGCAATGCCTGGGGCTGTGCTCCAATCCGAAACTAGAAGCCAAGAGCTTCTTCCAAGTCTCCCACGTGGGTGTGTGGTCTCAAAGCTTTGGGCCATCATCCACTGCTTTTCCAGACCACAGGTGGGAGCTGGAAGGGAAGTGGAGCAGCCAGGAGATTAACTGGTGCCCACATGGTATCCCACTGTGAGCAAGGTGAGTTCTTTAGCCACCAGGCTATTGCACCAGGCCCAAGATCTAAATATTCTTTAGATTATTATTCTCATATTCTGGAAAAAATATATCCTAAATTGCTTCTTTAATCACACACCATGAATAAATTATTCACCCACTATTCTTGTGAAAATATAGTCATGAACCTCATTATTCATTCAATCATTCCAAAAGCACTGGTTGAGTACACATGTTAGCAGATACCACATGAAGTGGATGAAGATGGATAAGGCTCTTTGTGACAAGTGTAAATCATCGTATATTGTTACCGTGGGATCACCTCTGGAGACTTTCTTCGGAAGAAAGGAAGTTAATTTTCTCTGGGAGAAATAGGTAAGTGGTTTTGGATTTGGGGTGGACAGTCTCTCAACAACTGCTGAGATGCTGTGTGTTTTCTGAGCGACTGCTGCCACATGGGCTAAAACTGGAAAGACTGAGAAGACCGTGTCGGAAAGGGCAGCCTCATTTAATCTTGACTTCACAGTGAGGAAGGCAATTGTGCTGGACACAGATGAATTTGAACTATGTTGTTGCTGCACTGGCGCTGTTCAGGACTGAGGAATCGGGAAATGGCCAATGCTGTATTTCTATGGTCTTGTTAAGTTGAATGGATCACACCAGAAGACGAGTTTGTCTTCATGGGCAGGGATAGGGCTAATTCCTGAACTAAGTAGACAGTTGGCTTAATCATCCTAGGAAGAAAGATTCCAGACAGTCTTGGATACAGATAAGGGGTACTTTTTTTTTTTTCCTGGGCTTTGATAAAGGGAAACATACTTGAGATTTTCCATGTCACTTTCTGTAAACTGGCCAGACCTATACAGAGATAAACCAGGAGCCAGACAGAGAAACTTATGAGGATAAGTTTAGGGACATGAAAGAATTCACTTCCAGTTACAGCTGTAAACCCCCACCTGTTATCCCTAAATCTCCAGCGAGAGCTTGTGAAAAGCTGAAGTCTGTTTCAGCTGTGTTAAGGGAAATTCTGGGACTGGGTCACACTGGGGAAAGAAAGCAGCACTTCTCTGTCTAGGCTAGAGTGAGAGCATCAGAGGAGCCAGATGAGAATGGACATGCTCAGAGGAAGAGATGTAGTGAGGGGTGTACGAGGCAGAATAGCATAGTAGACACGGCCAGGAAGGAAGGGCTACGTTAATTTGTCATAAGAGAATGTGAAACAGCACCTGGGGCCTTGCCTATATATCAGAGTGCCACTGGGGAGAAGGCAGTCCCTGCTTGGACACGTGGGACTAACCATGACTTGCACGTTAGTTCAGTCATAAGCTGAGACAGACGATTGTGCTGACAATTGATAATGATGATAAGCAACATTTTCTGTCTCCACACAGGTTAACAGCAGAGAGGGATGAACAACTCTTGGGGATGAAAAATCTGTCATGAATAACTGTGCAAAGACAACCACTCAGAGCAAAAACACAAACTAAGGAAAAAAATACTTGCATTTATTGCATGCATTTTCAGCTTAATGACCAATCTAAATATAATTTGATGGGAAGTAATTTTTTTTTAGAATTTGAATTAAGAATATCAACCACAGGCAAATCTAACTAGGTTGGCTGAACTGATGAGTGTGTTTTCAGTAGCTTCGAAAGGCTGATGATCAAATTCTTGTGGAAATAGACTATATCAATAATACAAGTACCTGATTCTTTTTCCTCAGTTGCTCTTTCCTTCTCCTCTTCCCTTATTTCATCTTCTGCGTTAAGCAAATCCAACACCAGATCACTGATGGTTTTGTAGTTCTCTCCAGTTGTCAGGATTTTGCTCTGCACTGTCTGTTTCACCAGCCTTCTGCTAAAGCCCATGTCCAAAGCGGCTTTAACCACAGGCGTATTCATCATGACTGCATCTTCTGGATGGTTTTCTCCAGGTCCAAAATGAACAACTATGGAACAGTAAGTTACATATGCAATAAGAGTCTGCATGTTTTTTTTTAACTGAAAAGATACTACATTATTAAAAAGATAAGATTCAGAAAGTCTATAGGTAGTATTATTTTGTACTAAGATTGTACTAAGATTGGAGAAGTGGCATAGCGCTAAAGCCACTGTTTGTGACTGGCATTCCATATGAGTGCAAGTTCAGGACCTAGCTGCTCCACTTTCAATTCCACTCCCTGATAACGTGCCTGGGATGACAGTGGAAGATGGTCCAAGTGTCCTGCACCCATGTGAGAGATCCAGCAGAAGCTCTTTAATCCTGGCTTCAGTCTGGCCTGGCCCTGATGCTGTTGCCATTTGGGAATGAACCCACAGATGGAAGATCTCTCTCTCTTTCTCTCCTTATCTCTCCCTCTCTCTCAAATAAATGAATTAATTTTAAAAAAATGAAGAGCCTTTCCTAAATAAAGTAATTTTATATATTTTTAAGAGTCCACAGTCATCAAATTCCTCTACTATTACACTGGCTTTCTACAATATCTCTTCCTTCTAGAATGTTCTCAAGAATACAAACAGTGACTTTTAAAATCATGGATCTGTTTTCCTGATTAACAACATTTCATAACAGCCCCATCAATAACAACAACAACAACATCAACATCAACTTATAGCACCCTGAAAAAATAACATGCCACTGAGTAACCAACACATGCATGACAAAAAGGAAACACAAAAGTCTCTTGGGAAAAATGATGGGCTTCAACGCTATAAACTGCTAAATACTAAAATTAAAATAGGCATGAGACAGCTGAATAGTAATCTATAGCCATTTTAGGCTGTATAGAAACCCTTTATATATAAACTAATCATTGAAATGTCAATGTAGAAGTCACAAGATGTAGTTAAGAACTTGCATTTTTTTTTCTCTCTTTTAACGTATTGGTTACTCAATACCATGTGAACTAATTCCATTACGTTATAAAATGTTACTGATGTAATGTCGGGGCTTTTAATTGATCGGAATGATACTCTGCTGGCTCTACCTTCAGACCAGAGATGGTCTCCCCAAGAGACCGTTGAACTTATCTGGACAATAAGACGCTGGACTTTATACTTGGTAGATGCTTGCAATGAAAGAATCTCAACTGAATTTGAACTGTGGTAATGCAACAAGGTGGAGGAATCCACCATGGGGGGAGGGCACGGGGAGTGGTAGGGGGAATCCCAGTGCCTATAAAACTGTGTCACATAATGCAATATAGTCAATAAAAAAAAAAAACATGGATTGCCAGCATTACATGTGGGTGCAGGTTCAAGTTCCTGGCTGCTCTACTTCCCATCTAACTCTGTTACTGCTCCTGGGAAGGCAGCAGAAGATGACTGAAGGTCTTGGGACCCTTTACCAACATGGGAGATTCCTGGTTACTGGTTTGGCCTAGTCCAGCTCCAGCCACTGCATCCATTTGAGAAGTAAACCAGCAGATGGAGGATCATTTTCTCTCTTGCTTTTGCACTCCCTGCTTTCCAAATAAATAAAATATATCTTTTTTTAAAAAATAAAAAATAACTGGGGCCAGTGTGGTGACTTATCAGGCTAATCCTTCGCTTACTGCACCATCCCCTATGTGCACTGCTCTGTGTCCCAACTGCTCCATTTCTGATCCAGCTCCCTACTTATGGCCTGGAAAAGCAGCACAGCATGGCTCAAGCCCTTGCACCCCTGCACCCCTGTGACAGACCTGGAAGAAGTTCCTGGCTTCTGGATTTGGATTAGCGCTCTCTCTCGTCTCTCTCTCATATCTGTCTCCCTGTAACTTTGACTTTCAAGTAAAATAAATCTTTAAATAAGTAAAATAATTGCCTCTCATGCACTCATATTACACTTCACTTCTCTTATAATAGCCTTTCCCCTATCTGTGTGTTTACTTGTGTCCTACAGATTATTAGCTCATGGGAGCAGAAACTATATTTATTCTGTCCTCTATTTTTCCCTTAGATCATCAGATACACAACAAATTAGGAATCAAATTGAAAGATAATACAAAGATGGGCTCATTCAATTTTTAACTAATGAGGGCCAGAGTGTAAGATGGTGAGTAAAACTATTGCCTGTGATGCCAATATCCCTTACAAATGCTGTTTTGAGTCCCAGCTGCTCCACTTACGATCCACCTCCCTGCTAATCACCTGGGAGAGCAGTGGAGGATGGCCCAAGTACGTGGAACCTGCACTTACGAAGGAGACCCAGAAGAACTCCTGGCTCCTGGCTTTATATCAGTTCAGCTCTGGTCATTGTGACCATTTGGGCAGTGAACCAGTAGATGGAAGATCTTTCTCTGTGCCTGTCCTTCTCCATAAATGTACTTTTCAAGTAAAGATGAATAAAATCTTAAAAAAAGAGAGAGAGAGTACATACTCTACCCTACTCATGTCACAGATAGAATATGTGATCAATTTAATGTCATGATACAGTTGTTCCCACACTGGTCCAAGAATCAGGGATGAGTTAGATGTCTGTACTTAAGACTATAGGTGCTCAGGTCTTACCCTTAGACATGTTGATTCATTTCAGGTCTGAGACAGAAACTGGAAAAGTTCTCTAAGCAAATCTGATACACACTCAAACCTGAATGAAATCAACATAATGCATTTGAAAGCGCATTGAAAGTATTAACTGACACAAATACACATTATTCTTACTAATTTCCAATCTCAACAGTACCAAACAGTTGCATTACAATGCAGCATTCAATGTACATACTTGGTGGCTCTGCAATTTCATCTTCTGGAGTATCTGATGTGGATAACAGCTACAGGAGGCAAAAAAGTATGTAAATTAAAATACAGCTCTTATCCTGATACTGCAATAAAAACAAATCAATAGATAATTTTATCCAACTTATTGCAGAATGACTAACTTACTAGAAAAATATATTTTAATCACAGACATTTTAATCACAGACATTGTTCATTTAGATTCAAAAGCTATTCTCTAGGCAAAAACTAGCAGAATTTCTGTGTGATTGTGTATCTGAAACTTATTTTCATGAGACAGGAAGAATCACACCTTTTCAGTAATCCATGAAACATTCGATTGCCTTTCGTTGCCAGCTCTCACCTTCCCTGGGTCACTTCTGAAAGAAGTGCAGTCCTACATAAGTCACTGACTCTGGCTAAGAGCTGTTTAACTATCAAAGTATTTTCAGAGAGTTTTCAAAAACCCATAAAAGCACTTATTATGAAAAGTTCTTACAAAAAAACTGTATGGATTTGAAAGTTATTATGCTTCAAAATATATTTTAAATCCAGTTTTCATAAACATGTTGAAATCCCATTGCATAAATTTTTACCTGCTATTCTAAAATTAGAAAGAACAATAGGATTCTTTGTCCTAAATTGTTTTTAAGAACAATATTCATAGCAAAATTATTATTGCTACTACTATGGCCAATTTCCCCCCCAGATAGTTTCATCTATTGCAACTTGATCAGAGAAACACTTTTTAAAAATCTGCCAAATTCACTGTTAGGATGTTACCAATTAAGAATATATATTTCTCCAAATAGTAGTAGCTTCTAAGATAATTTGGAGTTTATAAAGAAATGCATTTTTAAAACACCTCTTATTTTTATTTTAAAAATTTTTAAAAAATATGGAACACTTCACAAATTTGCATGTCATAAAACACCTTTTGTATTTTCACTGAAAAGAATTTCCTACAATTATAGAAAAAACAGCTTTTCTCTTGTTAGCCAATGATTAAAAAACAAACAAAAGCAAAAACAATAAAACAACCCTTTCCTACCTGTTGAAGTAGATGAGGGTAACTGGCCTGAACTTGACTGATGAATTCCTGCCCTTTAATTCTTATCAAGTATTCACACCTAAAATGGAAACAGAATAAAGTTTGGGTAGACTATTTTCTAAAAGTCAAATGCAAATATTATCATGCAAATTCTCTATCTTTGGGTGTTTGCTCCATTTCAAATTTAGTTAGGCATTTGTCACATTTACTAGAATATTTTTCCTTTTAGTTTGAATGATTTGCAAACTTATTACTATATAAGTAACAATATTTGATAACTTCTATTTGATTAATTATAGGTCTTGCTATGTTATATCTGCCAGTATACTGTATGCTTCAGTGGAGTTTGAAAAGCCTGAAACATTTCTCTTAATTTATGCAGAGCTCATCCAGCTGTTTGTGGACTGGCAGATATTTCAAATGAACACAAACACACATATGATCACTTCACTATGTATTTGGTATGTGGGAAGCTATAAGAGACACTGCAGTTAAAAGCAAATTGGCAAAGCCGAGAGGGAGGCTATAGCTGGTACTGAGCTATGGCTCTGAATGAGGGTCTATAACCTCTTAGCTTGCTGTTGCCCAGCAGGGCCTGTGGAGCTCCTAGCTGCTCTGGTTCCGGAAGACACCGTGATCCATGACACTAAAAACAGAACAGGAAGGCAGGGAGAAAATCCTCCAAGTAAATGATGCTGCTCATCTCCATGACAGCTTAAAAACTAAACATGCACCAACAGGGATACAAGAAGAGGGAACAACACATTTTCTCATACAACATACTCACAAATACGGCAACATATAGATAATATATACTCATTGTCAAATTTAAGTGCAAAACAAGTACTTAACACTACCATTCATTTTGTATATGAACAAAAATTACCACAATATATAGTTAGTAATACTTACCAGGAAACCTATGCAAGCGCTCTTTTTTTTAAATTAATGTCTGTTTTTAAAGATTTGTTTACTTCTTTGAAAGATACAGTTTCAGAGACAGAGGGAGACACTGAGAAAGAGATCTTCCATATACTATGCAGGCTGAGGTCAGGATTCTGGCGCTCCATCCAAGTATTCCACATGGGTGCCTGGGCTCAAACTCTCTGCAGCTTCCCTAGGTGCACAGCAGGGAGCTGGATCAGAAGTGGAGCAGCCGGGACTAGCACAGGCACTCACATGGGATGCCTGCGTTACAGGCTATAGTTTAACTTCCTTAGCTGCAAGTCTAGTTCCTTAGGTGTTCTTTTTAGTCTTTGTAATTAAAATAATAGATAAAAGTATTTATTTGAGAGGGTGGGGCAGGGAGTAGGGTAGGTAGAGAGAGAGTTCCTATCTATTGGATCAATCCCTAAACATCTGCAACTGCCAGGGCTAAGCCTGTGTTGCAGCTAAGAGCTAGGAGCCAGGAACACAATCCACGTCTCCTATGTGAGTGACAAAAATACAACTGTTTGAACCAGCATCAGTTCCTCCAAGTCTCTGCATTAGCAAAAAGCTGGAGTCAGGAGCCAAAGGCAGGCTTCAAGCTCAAGCATTCCAATGTGGGATGTATGTGTCTTATTCAATGTCTTTGGCCAAATGGCCAGCTCTATTCACAGGTGTTTAAGCCTGCAATGCTTAGGGAACATAAAATTGTTATAAATAAAGCCCTAAATCTTAAAGTTTATATACAATAACAGTGATTTAGAATGCCAAATATAGTAATCAACATTAAGTAACACTAGGAAAAATACAGCTCTGGGTTTGAGCTGACTGAGATAAAATAGAAAAGTCAAGAGCACAAGACATGACAGTAAAACATAAAATGTAATGAGAACGATGAGATGATGCTACACTGACCCTGTTATATTTCACACTGCAACTTGCCACTTGCCTGCTTTGTCTCCCTTGTCTCTCTCTCTCTTTTTTTTTTTTTAAGATTTATTTATTTTTATTGCAAAGTCAGATATACAGAGAGGACGAGAGACAAAGATCTTCCATCCAATGATTCACTCCCCAAGTGACCTCAACAGTCAGCGCTGTGCCGATCCAAGGCTAGGAGCTAGGAACCTCCCCTAGGAGCTCTTCCGGGTCTCCCACGTGGGTGCAGGGTTCCAAGGCTTTGGGCCATCCTCCACTGCTTTCCCAGGCCTCAAGCCAGGGAGTTGGATGGAAAGTGGAACTGCTGGGATTAGAACTGGCGCCCATATGGGATCCTAGCATGTTCAAGGCGAGGACCCCAGTCACTAGGGCCCTATCTCTTTTTTTTATCTACAGTACTTACTATCTTCCAACATGCTTTATAACTTTTAAGCTTTTTAAAGCCATTTCTCCTATCCTGTTACAAAGAAACTTCATAAGACTAAGGGGTCTATATTTCGTTTAACTATTTTAGTCACCTAGGCAAATTTCGTTTAATGAAAGGAAATATGTCCAAAACATACACTGATTGATAAAACTATGTGTAGTAACTACTGCATATAAAATTACATATACTTATGTATCTGTGTACAAACACATAAGCAGGTACCTGCGGGGCAGGCATGTAGCCTAGCAATTTAGACACTTTGTAGCCCACAGTGGAGTGGCTGGGATCAATTTGCAGTTCCAGCTCCAAACTCAAGATTCCTGCTAATACAGACCCTGGAGAGCAGCGGGTGATTGTTCAAGCAGTTGATTTTCTGCCATGTAGATGGGAGACTCAACTCCCAGGTATGGTGGACATTTGGGGGCATGAACCAGCACAATGGAGCACTCTCTCCCATGCTCTCTCCTACTCTCTCTGCCTCCATTTAAAAACAAACAAGCAAAAACCAAACAAACAACAACAAAAAAGCAGTATCTTGAGCAACGTCCACTAAGATGGTAACCGTGTCACTTTAAGTTTTTTCTCTCTGTACTTTTCTCCCATGCGTAACTTTGTTCTAACCATGTACACATACAATTTTAACATAGGCCTTCTTTAATAATTACATAAAATCAGGCATTTCTTCTTTATCTTAAATCCATAAAAACCTTTTAACTGGTTATTTTTTAAGCAAATGAATCATAATCTTATTCTTAAATATATTTTGAAAAGAAAGGGAAGCTAATGGACCCAGCACTGTGGTATAGGAGGCTAGGCCTTCACCTGTGGTGCTGGCATCTCATATGGGCAGCAGTTCATGTCCTGGCTGCTTCATTTCTAATACAGCTTCCTGCTTATGACCTGAAAAAAATAGCAGAGGATGGCCCCTTCAACCATGTAGGAGAATCAGAAAAAGCTCCTGACTCGTGGCTTTGGATCAGCTCAGCTCTGGCCAGTGCAGCCATTTGGGGAATCAGCCACAGAATGGAAGATCTCTTTCTGTGTGTGTGTGTGTGTGTGTGTGTGTGTGTGTGTGTGTGTGTGTGTATCCTCTCTCTATACTCTGCCTTTCACATACAAATCAAATAATTAAAACAAACAAACAAACAAAAAAGGCAAGGTAAAGCACAGTTGGTTGTAAGGTGACCTATTTCAGCACAGTTATAAAGTTGGCCAAGACAATGTCCTAACAATTACCTTGGGAACCATTTGGCATGCTCCACCCACGGGTCATCTCCCTGCTCCCAACACCGCAGTCCACCATCGCAGCAAAAGCATTTGACGTCATCACTGTGACCTAAAATTAATTTTGAACCAAAACTTAGGAATATGTATCATTGGATATTTAAGATATCTAAGATCTCACATGATGAAACTTTTTGTAATCAGATCAAACCTCTTACCCACATAATAAAATCCTGCACTTGCAAGCTGCTCAGGGTGAACTAGAAGACTTGAGGGCCAATTAAAGAATGTTTTGAAGCGGGCAGCATGTGTCTGCATGCTCAGATTAGAAACGGTATATCTCGAAGCATCTTGAAGCTGGTTTTCTAAAAATGGACAGTTGGGGAAATGTCTCAGGTGTTCTGCCATAGCATCGTCCTTCGGCTCCCAGTTGCTCAATTTTCCACCACAGGCAAAGCAGGCCACTCTGTCCCCAGGCCCTATGTAGTAAAAGCCTGCTTTAGCCAGATCCACTGGTGACAGAAAGGTCAACGGCCACATCTGATAAGTAAGTAGTCTGGCTTTTTCGGTGCTCATCGCAGAGTGGTAAGGACTCCCACTGCAGGCAGAAAGGTCTTGATTTGCTCTGTAGTTTACAGGACTTGATGGAAAGCTGGCATATGAACCACTAAAATAGCCACTATTTTCCAAACTTGGGAAGAACGAATGTGTAGAATTTGCTACTGAAGAAGGAAAAGTAGACCGAGAATTTGTTTCCAAACTGTTGCCTGAGATTAGACTTTGAACAAAGTTGCAGCTGGGATACAACTTTCTGTGCTTTTCAATGGGCTTGTCTCCTTGTTTCCAGTTATCCAGCATCAGGCCACAACGGAAGCACTTGACCTTGTCATTCACGCCAGTGTAATAGAAACCAGCACGGGCAAGACTCCGCTCGGAGACGGGGACCCCGGCAGGGAAGGTAGAGTATGTGGACATTCGGTAGAGTTCACACGAAAGGTCGTACTTCAGTTCAAAAGAGTTGGCGCTTTTCATCAAATTCGCTAAAAAGACGCTACTTTCTACTATGTTCATGACGAGACGAGACGAGGGGAGGAAAAGGGACTAGTCTTTCTCTGGGGAGGTAGTTTTGTGCATTGCTTTTGATTTCCTTAGTTTTCATATTGGTTAAACATTGATAATAAGAAACTGTTCTTTCTTTTTTCTACTATGCATGTATAATTCATGTCTGTGAGGTTCTGCATCCTACACTGATAGATGTTTGACTGGCAGTGGAGACCACCCCATGTTACCTTCTTCATACACACAAGTGCATACATGATCCGACAGAGTAACCTGTGATGAAAATTAAAACAAGCTTCATGGAAGCTAAGCCGCTTTAGGCCATCAGAACATCATTTAGTTCCAGGCATCTCCATGAGCAGGTCAATTCCTGCTCCAGTAGCACTCAACAACCTGAAGATAAAATGACCACTTTTCGTCCTAATGGCATACATACTTGGCTAGACACTGACCACGCCCAGGTGCTGCAAACACACACGGTGTGATAAACTACCAATAACCAAATTGTACTTCATAATTATATTCAGGATATTTCTGCAAAAAGAGTCATGATATACATATTTTATTTCCTTGGTTTAAAAAAAAAACTTTCTTAAGATAATTTCCATATGGCTATAAAATAACAAATCTTTTCAGCTGTCTTGTTTTGGGAACCTTTCATTTGAGTCAGAACTCACTTCACCAATAACATACCTCAAAGCAGAATTTACCAAGACAATTTAAAAAAAAAAGATAATAACAAATTTACCATTTGAACAGCAAAAACCTTGTCACAATCAAGAATTCCTCAATGATGAATTATTGGACATCAATTATTCTGTGACAATAATACTGTCCATGGCCAATGAGAAGCCATTGTGGTTTTCTTTACCAGTGATTTGCAAGCACGGTTTCTTGGGTCTCACAGATGTTGGGGTTTTCTAGTTGTTGATTTCAGTGCTTTGTGCCCCGCTGGAGAACTGTCTTATCTCTCTCCCAGCGGTTACTTCCCCCAAAGGTAAATCATTGTGTCTAACCTCAAGGATCCTTTCACCCATGGCCAATAAACCTTTATTTGCTTTCATGTACTGTTGTGCAGCTTTTCTTTGTGAACAAGCTAACCTATCTACCACCATTCTCAGACATAATAGTCCATTGAACCAAAGCAAATCTTAGACATTATAAAATATCATTGCTGTTGTAATTGGATAGCATCTCCACTGGCCAGCATGTTTATTTTTTCCATTTCCCTGAATTTGGCTGTGCCTATCGCAGAGTTCTGTTACTGGCAGTTTTTGGTAGCAGCTGTCTAATAGATTGAGGTCCCATTTGCACACTTCTCTAACTTTTCCAAGGTTTGATTACTGGCTCTTTGTTCTGGATAACTGTCAATCATTTTTAAATCCTCACAAATGCGGGTGTTGTTTTACTAGTCTACACAGCAGTCAACGGGAAGCCGCCTTGCCAACCCGGAGAACAGCGTTTCAGGAATGAGTCCCCACAGCATACACCTCTCTTCTTCACTGCCACAATCTAATTCATATAATTCATCAATATTAAAAACCAACATTGTTTGTGTTTTATAATAAAAATCTCCAGTAAATTATTTAATTTGCTTTTCATGCACAAAACTACCTCCCCAGATTAGACTAAGTCCCTTTGAAGGGAATTAAGCCTCCATGTTGAGATGTTTTGGTTTATAGAAGAAACTGGGGGGATCTAGAAGTAGAAGAGTTTGCTTCCTTTGTAAACCTGTTTTGAAAAACAAAAAAGACAGTTTTAAAAGTCAACTAATTTGCAGACATAATATAATGAACTTTTTAAAACACCTTCTCCAGCATCTGGTGTATGGTTTAGTAGGTTAAGCCTCCACCAGCGGTGCAGGCATCCCATCTGCATGCTTGTTTGAGTCCCAGCTGCTCTGTTTCCACTCTAGTTCCCAGCTAACGGCCTGCGCAAGCGGCCGAAGATAGAACCCCCTTACCCCCGCACTCATGTGGTCCAATTCTGGCCAGTCTGGGGAGTGAAACAGCAGATGGGAGATCTCTTTCTCTCTCTCTGTTTCTCCTTCTCTGTAACTCTGCCTTCAAATCAAGATAAAATAAATCTTTTAAAAAAATAACTTTCTCCATAATAGAGTATAATACTAGCTTAGCATTATAGACACTGAACTGAGGATCTGCAATGTACAAGATGATGAAGCAAACATTATAGAAAGTGAGGTGCACGAAGTTCTGTAAAATTTCACTTGAATACTATAAACTGCTAAATACAAATAAATAATTAAAAATGAAAATGAGGAATGTAGGCTAAAGACCAAAAATGTCTTGTGACCAGGGGATATTTTATGTTTTGGTTTACATAGAATTGGTTTACAATATTTTACTATTTTTGTTTTACTTTTGTAATAAAAAGTATTTACTTTTATTTGAAAGGCAGAGCTACAACAGAAAGAAGCAGAGGGAAAGAAAGATGAATCCTGGGGCAGTGCTGTGGCATTGTTGGTAGGTTAAGCCCTTCCTGAAGTACCAGCATCCCAGAGGGATGCAAGTTCATGCCCTGCGTGCTCTGCTTCTGATCCAGCTCCCTACTTAAGGCCAGGCAAGTAGCAGAGGATGGCCCAAGTTCTTGGGACCCTGCACCAGCATGAGAAACCCAGAGAAGGCTCCACGCTCCTCACTCCTGGCTTCTGATCATTTCAGCTCTGACCACTGCAGCCATTGGGAGAATAATCTAGTGGATGGAAGATCTCCCTCTCTGTCTCTCATTCTCTCTGCAAATCTGACTTTCAAACAAAAATAAATCTTCACGGGCCCGGTGCAGTGGCGCAAGTGGTTAAGGTCCTCACCTTGCACGCCCGGGATCCCATATGGGTGCCAGTTCTAATCCTGGCAGCCCCACTTCCCTTCCAGCTCCCTGCCTGTGGCCCGGGAAAGCAGTCGAGGACGGCCCAAGCTTTGGGACCCTGCACCCGCGTGGGAGACCTAGAAGAGGCTCCTGGCTTCGGATCGGCATAGCATCGGCCGTTGCACTCACTTGGGGAGTGAATCATTGGACGGAAGATCTTCCTCTCTGTCTCTCCTCTCTGTATATCAGCCTTTCCAATGAAAAAATAATAAAAATAAATCTTTAAAAAAATAATAATAAATCTTCAGAAAGAGAGAGAGCAAGAAAGAGAGGTTGTTCATGCACTGGTTCATTTCCCAAATGGTTTTAACATCTGGGGATGGGTCATCCAGGAGCCAGGAGCTTTATCTGGATTACAGGGTGCTGGGGCCCAAGGACTTGTGCCACACTCCACCACTTTCCCAAGGGACCTGGATCAGAACACACCCATATGGAATGCTGGCACCACAGAAGGAGCTTTAACTTCCACACCATGGTGCTGGTCCCTGCTTTTTGTCTTAAGATTAATTTATTCTTTTCTTTTAAATTTATTTATTTTTACTGTAAAGGCAGATCAGATTTACAGCAAAAAGGAGAGACAGGAAGATCTTCCATCTGCTGGTGCATGCCCTAAATGGTCACAACAGCCACAGTTGAGCTGATCCAAAGCCAGGAGCTATCTTCCACTGTTTGGGCTATCTTCCGCTGTTGTCCCAGGCAACAAGCCAGGAGATGGATGGGAAATGGAGCAGCCAGAACACAAATGGTGCTCATATGGGATCCTGGCACATGGATTTGGAGGATTAGCCAATTAAACCATTGTTTCAGGCTCAAGAGTTTTCACATACACTACACTCAGTTTTCTGGAAGTTAACATCTCACATAACCATAGTACATTCAACTATAGAGACCAGAAAATTAACATTGACACAATGCTACTTTTTTAAACCATGATTTTATTGGATCACATGTTAAAATTTATACTTACTTACTAGTCAATTTTTTTAATGTAAGAGATTTCCCTTGTCATTATAGATTATAAGCTTCTACCAAAAAAAGGCAAAATCCAGAAAATCTGACAACATAGTCCTATATTTCCATATGGCAACCCAAGTAAGAGAGAGCTGAATACCAGCTGTATCTTTAAAAGGGCACCTGCTCTCCATGCTGGCACCATATTTTGATTGCTTGCTACTGAGGTGTCAGTTAATATTTGTTTGTTTGTTTTAAGATTTATTTATTTTTATTGGAAAGGCAGATATACAGAGAAGAGGAGAGACAGAGAGGAAGATCTTCCATTTGCTGATTTACTCCCTAAGCGGCCACAAGTGCTGGAGCTAAGCCAATTTGAAGCCAGGAGCCAGAAGCCTCTTCCAGGTCTCCCACACAGGTGCAGGGTCCCAAGACTTTGGGCCATTCTTGACTGCTTTCCCAGGCCACAAGCAGGGAGCTAGATGGGAAGTGGGGCCGCCAGGATTAGAACTGGCACCCATATGGGATCTTGGGCGTGCAAGGCAAGGACTTTAACTACTATGCTTTTGCACCGGGTCCAGTTAATATTTGTACTTGACCTGGGCTGGCATTTTTCTTACAGTTGAATTATAAGAAAAATCTAATTCTTATAATAGCATTGCCTATCAAAAGTAACCAAAGTGAAAGATAGATGTAGAGGGACATATTTTGAGGAAATGAGAGAAAGACTATTATAAAAAGTTACAGTGGGTATATTTCTAAAAGATTACATGCATTATTAAAACACATATTGTTTCTTAAGTTACATAAATTTATTTATGTTAAGCTGGCATGTAGAAACAATGCATGATGTTGTGGGAATTTAGACAACAACCAATACATACAAGCAGGTGAAGATGTCAATTTTGGATCAATTCAACCTGTGTCTTAGCCATTCCCTCTCCCTAGCCTCCCGGACGGTGCACACCTCTCTACAGGATGGGGCAGCATTGCTGGCCCCGGCCTGCTCCCTAGCCAACTGCCCCCACAAATTGTTCTTTCTGACCCTTCAGTACCCTCCCCTGCCCCATCGCTCCCCGTCTCATCATCCGTCCACTGCTCTGCCTTCTGTTTCCTCAAAGAGAGTGGAACAGCAACGAGCCGTAGTTATCTCACACTTCCACATCCGTGTGTTCTTATTCACAACCTGCCAGCTGCTTCTTCAAGGGATCCCATCCTCTCCTATTGCCTCAGAAATGTTACTCTTCATTCCTTCAGCTGTCAGTCTGCACTGGCCCTTTGCATTCCCTGTAACATTCTGGCTTAAGTCTTAGCTTTCCAACCAAACAAAATCCTTCCTCAATTCCACTTTGCTTTGTAGCTATTTCCCTGCGTCTCACTTACCCTTCAGAGTCGGAAAACTGCACCTGTACTTATGGCTAGCATCACCACGATCTTCCCTCCCACGGACTCCTTAAACCGAAACGTTTGAAGCTTACCATCAGCACCAACGCCTTCTCTGCCAGAACCGAGGGGCAGTGCTGGATCTGCTACGGGAACCCACTTCCTCCTAGAGATATGCTTGCCTTCTCCAATCCCAACCCCCTGGATTTCCTCTTTCTTTTCTGGCAGTTCCTCCTCAGGCCAGCTTATGGACTTTGTCACCTCTCTCCAGAACGCATCCTAGCAGCTGGGCACTCAGTAAATTCATCTCCCTGGGGCTGGAGGACAGGACCCCTCTCTGTCTGCCTTGTGGGCACTGCAAACTCCTTTGCTACAAGCCCTCCCACCCTCCACATCCACAGAGCCTGACAACAGAAGTACACGCTGGGCCTTGGCGTTGAGGATGGAAATGTTAGCCAAGGTTCTTGCTTGCTGAGATGCAAGACCACAGTGCCCTGATTTGCATGGTATCAGGGACATTGATTTTACATCAATGGTCCAAACTTCTCAGTGATGGCTCAATACCTGGCATTGTCTCCAATACTATGGAAAGGGATCCTAGCCGAGTCACTCTACAAGAGCCTCAGCATCAAGAAGACCTGTGTTTTACAGTACCTGCTTTTAAAGACTGTGATCGGTAAACATGCAGCTAACCTAACTGCTAAGTTAGCATCAAGCAAGCACCTCCAGCATTTACTCTGCTGGGTCCACAGACATTACTAGGAAACAGTTTAAGCTTCCCTATATAACTGCCACCCTGCTCCTTTAAGCACTGCACTGAGACCTGCCCGCTCCAATGGCTACTTTGGGCTTTGTCCTGAAGCGTTTCTGGCACCCACAAAGCCCCCGGTGACGCTTCTTGGCAATCAAATTAAGTTGTCAAAGTCACCATTCCGCTGGTTCACTCCCAAGTAAAACAGAAACTGAACACCCAGCAGGAAAGTGGGAAGGCATGCGAAGGGAGGAGGGAAGCATGAGGGAAGCCTGTGGCCAAGCCAGCTGCCCCGGGGCCTGCAGTGCTGCCAGACAGACAGCAGGCAGTCTCCGCCAAGGGAGGCGGGCGGGGGTGGGGTGCCACTGCCTTCTCTCCCCCAGAACCACCCCGTCTCCTCCCCGAGGGGTGGCCGGAGGGGCGCGCACAGACACGGAGACACAGACACGCACACTCACTGCAGCCCCGTCGCCTAGGCCGACCGTGCCAGCTCTGCCAAGCCGAGTCCCCGCCGGTGCCACCTGCCGCCCCGCGGTCTCACGCTGCCTTTAAACGAGTCCCCACCCTGCAGTCCCAGGCGCCCTGCGCTTTGCATGAGCGCGGTGCTTTCCTTTTAAGACCGAGGGGGAATTCCAGCGGTAATAACCACACGCACTTCCCCTTCATCGGTGGCCTGGCAGGCCCACCCGGGGATTTCCGCAGCCCTGAGAGATGACTTGCTTAACCATATTTACTGCAAGACCTTTGCACCATTGTTCCTGCGTGGAAGGAAATCTAGATAACCAGCGCAGAGGCCGCTGGTCAGCCTCATTGGGAAAGCGCCACACCCCGGCCTCCACCCTCCTCCGTCTATGTGTGCCGGACAGTTGGAGCTCAGGTTTTCCAAACAGCCTCAGCGATTTCAGGATTAAAACAAAAAATCCACTGAAAATTTGTGGCGTCGCTGATTGTTTTTATGTTTAGCTCAGATTATGAAAGTTTTGAAAGGAAATGTAGGGTATGTGAAAACAGAAATCATGCAGTTGCAGTTTTCCTTTTAATTTTTTTCTGTTTTGAAGACTGAAATGGCTTTATATATATAGATAGATAGATAGATGGGCTTTTATTTTAGCGTATTTTTTGGATGGATTTTTAACAAGTAGGGTAGATTAGCTTATTTTAAAAATCCACCCCTTCCTCATTTGAGCCTTTCCTCTCAAAGGGAAACCCGTGAGTGGGCATGGGAAGCGGAGTTGTGCGTGGCCAGCTGCACTGTCTAGCTGTCCTCCGACTCCCGAGGGAGTACCTTGAAGCACCTTAACCAACAGCAATACTTGCAAAGGTTGCAGGTGGGTTGAGAGAGCGCATTTGCTTGCAGCATTCTCCAGTAGAACAAAGAGGGTCACCCACCACAGACCAACCCCTCCAACAGCGTTCAGGGCGTCACTCTGTGGAGGGGACACGTGGGGGACGCAGGCAGAGGGGCGAGGGTTGTGGCACGGCCAGCTAACCTGCTTAGAGTAGGGATGAAGGGTCCAGGCCTGGCAGCGCTGCTCCCCATCCAGCTCCCTGCTGCTGAGCCCGGCAGCACAGCGGATGACAGCCTAAGTGCCCAGGTTCCTGCCACCCACAGGAGAGACTCAGACAGCATTCCTAGCTCCTGGCATGGACCCGCCCTGAGCCTGGTTTTTGGTGAGTTGATCAGGGGATGGAAGATGTCCCTGCCTACTCCTGGGTCACCTCTTCCTTTCACATAAACAAAATATTTTAAAATATTAATAATAAAAACATGTATGATATTTACACATTTCTGGTTGTGTACTCACCATGGATTTTTGGAAAGCTCTATATTCCCTTGCCTAGTTTTCATTTAGCATTAAAATATAATAGTTGCAAAGGAACCATAAGATGTAAATATTGATATTTTAAAATAAAATTGATATAACATCTTCAAATGTATTTGACTGACTCTTAATAGTTCAACCATGTGACACCCATCATTCATTAAACAATAAATCTAGTCATTTTTAATAGCTAGAAATGAATTATTGTTTCGTGTGCTTAAACATAATTTTCCAATAGCAAGCTAATATTAAAAGGGTCTGTAGAAATTTTGTGGAAAATGCACATTATGAAACAACTGTACATGGGTTTCAAAAAAATGTTGACATCCAAATCAAATCAACTTACCCTGGGCTGTTGTTTTAACACACTGGGTTAAGTTGCTATCTGCAATGCCAACAGCTCATATAAACGCAGGCGCAAGTCGTGGCTGCTCCACTTCCCTCCGCTTCCCCACTAATATATCTGAAAAAGCAGCAGAACATGGCCCACGTCCTTGGATCCCTGCCATGCGAGTCAGAGGCCTGGAGAAAGCTCCTGATCCTGGTTGGCCTGGCAACTTACCCAGGTGTTGCAGCCATTTGAAGAACGAACCAACAGTTGGAAGAGCTCTCTGCTTCTCCCTAGATAAATAAATCAATCTTTGTAGTAAATAAATAACATTTATAAGTTATTCATCTTTTAATGCCATTTTCTACAAACTGAAGTATTCTCATATATTCACGATGGACATCTCTTATGATCACTCTGTCACATTATTTCTGAAACTAACGCATCTACAAATTGAGATGCAATATTTTTTCTCTTGGTTCACAAAACTCTAAATGTCGAAGAAATTCCTCCTTGACTGTAATAACATTGAAACAATTCTAATTAGTTTTGGTAAAAAATAAATTATCCAAAACAAAATTCTATGCTAATTTTTTAAAATGTAAATTCTTTCAATTTCATTTTTTTAAATTGGAAAGTCAGATATACAGAGAGAAGGAGAGACAGAGAGAAGGTTCTTTTGTCTGCTGGTTCACTCCCCAAGCAGCCACAAGGGCCAGAGCTAAGTTGATCCAAAGACAGGAGCCAGGAGTTTCTTTCAGGTCTCCCAGGCGGGTGCAGGGTCCCAAGGCTTTGGGCTACACTCAACTGCTTTCCCAGGCCACAAGCAGGGAGCTGGATGGGAAGTGGAGCAGCTGGGAATAGAACCAGCGTGCATATTGGATCCTGGCACATGCAAGATGAGGATGTTAGCTGCTAGGCTACTGTGCCAGGCCCATATGCTAATTTTTAAAGTAAAATTTTATTATGGGCTGCAGCTTCCACTTGTAACTGAAATAAATTATTCAAGTATACATTCATGAAAATTAAATATTGGTAGAACATAATAAGGTTCAATACAGATTCTGTTCCTTATTCACATTTCTACAGACTGTTAAGGGTTAAAACCTTTTGTATCTAAATAATAATTAGCTTAACTTTGCCCTTGCAGACATTTGGAGAGTAAACCACTGGATAGAAGATTCTCTCTCTCTCTCCCTCTCTCTCTCTCTCTCTGTAGCTCCAACTTTCAAGCAAAATAAATAAATCTTTAAAAAAAAAAAGAGTGTTTGGGTTCCCTCAGCCCCATTGACAAGTGTTTATGAACTCAAGAAAAGACTTCCCCCAGTGTAAGGACAGTAAACAGACCCCTGAACTGACGGATTCTCAAGTCCTTTCAGATTGGTAATGATCTTAGATCAGATCAGTTGGGACTAAGCAGGCTGACACATCTTCACAACACTGACACGAGTTTATGGATTTTTCTAGTCATTTTTTCCCGATACAGTCTAAGTTGCACATGTCACTCACGCTTCCTAGGGTGTCCACCTGTGGCAGACGGTCACTATGTCTTTCCTGACTGATAAAAATGGAGCGAATCTACCCACCTGAGCTTCCTCTATTCTAAACCCGGATCCACCATTGTAACAGTGCAACATTCCGTTTTCCTTTGTATATCCCAAATGTTTTATAAAAAATAAAAACTTGCCTTTTCCTTTCAGTATGCAATTTCATCTAAATATATTTTTTCTCCAAATATTGCTATAGATCCAGAAATAAGGAGGGAAATATTTAAGAAAAGCAGCAAGGTTAGTAAGTACAGATATCAGTAACTCTAGTTTGCCAGTTTTCTCCGGTATCAGAGTGTGAGCGGTTGAAGTGTCAGTTTTTCTCTCTGTCCCTGACCTAGGGTACTGATAACCTCTAAGAGGGGTGTGCTCTCAACACCCTCTTAAATAAACATAGAATTGCTTCACTCTAAGGCTGCTCATGATAAGAGTATTTTTCTTTGGAATTTCCCATGATAAAAAAGCTATGAAAATTCAGTCCCCTCTGAATGTTTTCCTTATCATATTTGGATATTTATATCTAAGATTTCTACTGAGGAATCCAGAACTTAAAGTGAAAGTGAAATCTAACGAGGAACACGCTGTTCTAATTCTGAAGTAAACGCAAGAGTCACCATGAATGCGAAGAATTCCCTGGTCTGTTGAGAACTCATGATATCTTACAAATAAAATGCAATTAGATCATCCTTGAGGAAGTGACAATGAATGTGGAAATCACACAAGAAATCCTTTTCTCAGTGCAGTGAAACTTGCTCCTTAAAAATAGTGGCTTGCTTATATTTTATCCTGGCAGTGTTGTAATGAAATATAATTTTTGTGGTGTGAAATATAAGCAGCTCTTGACCGTGTAGCCCCCAGCGTCCTGGGAGATGACAGTTTTTCCAGGTGATCATCAATCTGAATGTCAAGAACATTTTCCTTCATCCCCCCAAACCCTCCATGCCTTTTTCATCAATATCAAGCTAGTTAATATCATCACCTATTCCCACAATCATTACTATGATTTCTATCACTATAGACTCGGCTTGGCTGTCCTTGAGCTTCACAAAAATCAAGTCAGGTCACCAGCTTCTTTTACTCAACATCCGTTTCAGTTTCATCACGATCACAAGGTGCATCAAAGTGTCACCTTTTCAAGGCATAGTAATAATTCCCTGGATGAACATAGTATATCCATTCTCCTCTTGATGGATAGTTACGATGTTTCCTGGATTAAAACCTCTGAAAAGCTAGAAACATTTTATTTCAAGTCTCTTTGTGAATGTATGAACCCAGTTTTGTGGGATAAGTACCTGGACATGAACTTGTAATTGTTTAGGCATAGGCTTATTGTTACTAGAAATGGCCATTTTTCAAGTACTTGCACCAGATACGGTCACACCAGCAACGTGCGAGTCTTAGTTGCTACACAAAACAGTCACCATGCTTGGTATCGGTGACCTCATGGGCCCAGTGGTGAAGTGCCTCTTAATCATCGGGCACCTCCTGGCTTCTCATCGGGGAGTTCCCCAGCCACCACTAACAGGACTGAACTCAGAAAGTCATCCTCTCTCTCTGTCTTATTTTCCCTCTCATTTCTTTACCTAGAGAAAAGCAGCAAGTGTTTCTGTCCTGCTGAAGTGGAGACTTCTCTTTACTGGGAAACTGTGGAAAAGTCATTCCTCCTGCAGCAGCCCAGGACGCTGTACCATGAATCCTGCTCTCTGATGAGATGTGTTCTTTTTGTGAGTTGTGCTCAAAGGGGTAGGGTCCTGGGCAGGCCGCCAAGGAAGACATGAATGGAATCAATGTCCCCCATTCAGTGTGCACATAGAAACTCAGAAGCAATTATTTTTCTGGCCCCAGACACAAACCCAAGAAAAAAAGGAG